ATCATCCTTCCTGAAATTTGCTTTGCTAGAGCAGAATGAGGTGGGGCAGCGCAGTGACAACCAAGAAGAGAATTTGTGTGATTTGACTGAAGAGTTAAACATTGAGCAATTTATTTTTTCACTTCCTGTCCTCAAAGCCAGCTTATTTTATAAAGGCTAAATTTAGTCTGCTCAGTTTCCGTCATCAAGGACAGCTTTTTGGGTATGCTTTCTTACAAATTGTTTGACCTTGGGAGATTGCTGCCAGGAAGGAAGAACACTTTAAAAGCTGACAGCTGATTGCTGGGGGTTTGTAAACTCCGTTGTGCGGGAGCAATAAAACTCCACAAAGACTCACTGAAGCTCAGTACCCGGTAAGGGTGATGAACTGCAAGGCATCAGGATGAGTTTGCTGAAAACAAAATGATCTTTGCTTTTTTACTGCTTTTATCCTCAGCTGTGTGGAAACTCTGAGCTCTTCCTGGCTTGATTGTGGATGGGAGACAATGCTGTTACACAGAGAAGATTGCCATGAGTAGAATAAGAGGGTGGAATGGGGCTCTTGCAAAGTTTACCCTAAAATAAGTAATGAGAAGGAGCAGTTCGGAGTTCAGGGGGCTGGAAGGAAGATGAAGTGGAATAAGAGTGGCCATCCAGCACATAAAACCTTATCAGCCGTAGCTTCACCATGCTTCGCTCAGGGTCCCGTGGGTGGTTGTGTGGCTGGCTGGTTATTTTTCCATAATGGTCAGGGAAGCAGGCAGTGAGGAGTGCTTTTTTACCCAGCCAAAAAAAGCTCTGTGAATAGGAAAGGAAGTCACGTGTTCCGTTCCTGGTGGTGTATATTAATGGCAAGCTAATGAAACAGCACTGCGGAGAATACTGGTGTAGGGCTTTAAAGGGCAGGCACAAAAACCGTGAGCCAAAAACACCGATTAGTAGAGGGTGCAGCTTTATTAAAAAGCCTTTTCTAGCAAGGGAGCCATCCTGACCTGCCTTCTAGTTCTCTCTCAGCCTGGATTTGGGTGGATGAACAGCATAAGGATGTGATGGAGGTGTTGCAGAGAGAGGCGTTGCTGATATTTGCCTTGAGTCCCAGCTGGAGGCAGGGCTGGAGCTGTCCCTCTCCTCTGTGCCAGTGGGCAGGAGCGGTGAGATGAGGGAAGCCACATGGAGCTGCACCCCTTCATGTTGTGTTCCCGTGCTCCTGGCTGGCATCCAAGGCAGCCCACTGGGTGACAGGGACCTCAGGCTGAACCCTTCAAACCTCCCAAATGCTCTGGAAGCTGCCAAACTCTCAACGGCAGCGTTTAGACCCTTAAAACCAAAATGAAATTTGCAAATCCAACACAGAGACTTTTGGGAACCAGACGGGAAAAACCTGTTTCAGATCCCCAAACCTACCAATTAACTGAGCCCACGCCACCATTGGAAGCCCAGTTCAGCAGACAGGGATGGGAAGGCAGGAACAGAGATGGAAATGAGAAACACAACCGTTTGGTTTGCATCCAGTTGACTTTTTGAGCTGACAGAATGGCTGTAGATACACCTTAGAATATCCCACCAATAGTGTTGTGATCTTCTCAATTAGAAAAGATGTGGTTTGGTTAAATACAACTAATGCAGTGCTCATCATCTGGGGAAACGAACAGTTAATTCTCGGTAAATGAGGTTCTGGAGAGATGCTCAGAAAAAGTGCGCTGAGAATTCAGCCATCCCCTTTGGCTACGTTCCTGCTCTTCGTCATGTAGTTCCTAATTCTGGAATAGTCGTCGTCATTGAGAGAGGTTTGCTTGTATCATCCATTTTCAGAAAATAATTATTTTAATATTCAGTGGTTTTATTCAAATAGAGCTTTGACAGCTTAGATAAAATCTGAGATCTTAGAGAAGCATCTGTGGCACTCTTAGATCACTGTGGGGGAGCCTGAGTTGTTGGGGTAGATCTCTTTGTTCACCACCATCAGAACAAAATACAACACTCGTTTACAGTTTTTATCTTAAGTACGGGACGTGCAAACCTGTTTTGATAAAGATCCTGCTGTCTTTTGTGATCTTGACTGGCATCAGTCACAGCCTGAATTTACCAAAGAAAGGGCTTTCCTTAGTCTTAGAGTCTTGGCAGGGAAAGGAGGTCATCGAAGGGCGTACCAGTTTTCATCCTGTTTAGAGAAATTCATGAAGGGATTGTAAAGGTTTCAAGTTCTGTTTTACTACTGAAGACTGCAGTAATAACTACCGTAGCATGTAGAAATTGCGTAGCCCATCCAGCAGCTCTGGGCAAAGCGATGTGCATCACAGAAGTAAATGCAGGAGAAATCTTGAAAGAGAAGTGATCTGTGTGACAGACTGCTGTTACATGATGGCTTTTTCCTTTCTTTTCGTTCCTGAAAGACTAGGTGTAATTACTATAGTAAAAGAGGCCTGTTCTTGGAGCAGTCTGGAAAAATCTGTAAGTCTGTGTGAAAAATGACCTGTGCTTTGTCTCAAAGGCAATTGACTCTCTCCACAAAAAAAACCAGTACTTCGTGTGTTATCAGATGCATAAGGATTTGGGGTCCTTCCTTACTCGTCCTGAGGGACCTGATACCGCTTACTGCAAGGGCAGGTGGGACTTAGGGGCAGACTGCGCTCAGCTTGGTGATGGACTGCTTTCAGGGTCCATGTGGATCCTTTGTGTCCAGTCTCAGAAGTCAGCAGGCTCCTGGGAGTGATCTGACTGGTTTGATGTGCGTATGCTGGGTACATCAGGTCCCTGTGCCCTCAGAGCGCTTCGGGGTGCCAGGATGTTTCCTCTGAAGACCAGGAGGGGACAGCAACAGTGACTTGTCTGTCCTTCAGCTGGTAGAGCAACAAGCTGAGGCAGGCAGCACTGAGTCAACCTGAAATTGCCTCTGGCACCCAGGGGAAGCCTGGAAGTACACCAACACGTAGGGTTTCTTCTGTGGCACCTGTATCTGCCCCACGGATGGAGCTGGCAATTTGTACTGCTTCTAGATGTCCCTTGCTGTGTGAACGAGGGGATTCATCATCTCCCTTGTATGTGAGTTGATCCCATTTATCACCCTCATCTCATGGATTGAAGATAGATGTAGCCTCTGGCCATGTGAAGATGTGGGTATAGCCAGTGCATGGTCTTTTTTAGCAGGAGAAGTTCCCATTGTCCTTACAAAGGGATTTTTTGTTTTTGTTATTTGTATTACAGCAAAACAGCAGGGTCCAGGGGCCGGATGAATTGGAGTCCCTTTGTTTTAAGTTGATTTGTGTATGAATAGAGGAAGAGACTCGCTGTTCCTGAGATGTTCTCGCTTTGAAACTTGAAACGGAGGGAAATGTCAGATCCAAGAACCAGTCTCAATCAGCTGAATAGATGGGATCTACTACAACATCTCATCTTTCAGCATGCCAGGGATAATATCCACTTAGGCTGTTATTACTGCAATTTTTAATGTTAGTGTTTCTGTTTTCCTTTTGCAGTAGAACTCCATTCTGTGATGAAATTTGGCTCTGACTCAAAACCAGGAGGGTTCTCCATGAAAATATTTAACATAATTGATTATAAAAATCCCAAAGTGAATTGGTAGCTTGTTTGATTGTTAGCTCATGTAGAGTAGATGAACTAAAATATTTGTGGCTTAAATATTTCTGACTTAATATTTTTAGGTACTTAATAAATACTGTAATCTAGAGATCGAGAGAATGCGTTTAGAGCTGCTTAGGTACCGTAAAAAAGATTGCTTGTTAGATGTGTGTATGGAATAACTGCTTTGGCTCGAGTGAGGTTTCAAGTAGCTTGGCAAATGGTTCTGATTAAGGTTGGTTTTCCCTCCTACAGCACGTAACATTGTGTGTGTGCCAGTGCAGTGCCGTGCCGTGCCGTGGAGGTACTCAGCTAAGAGCCGTGCTTCGTCGTACTACCAGATTATCGATGGGCATTGCCTGCCTTGCTCTGCCTGTTGAAAATTACTTGAAAAAACATTTTTAAAGAGGTTATTAATGATGTACTGTCAAAAAGGAAAGATCTATCAAATGAGCTTCTCTGGGGATCTGTCTTTGGCCTAGCATTATTCAAAAATTCTATTAACCTCTTTGATGATGGAAATAAGGAATAAAACTACAAAAAATAGCAGATGGCACCAGTCTAGAATAAATTTAGACCAACCAGCTTTGAAAGAGTTGATCTAAAGCATAAAATTGTTTTGCTAAGTCAGGAAAATGGTTCTCAATTAATATGGAAAAAAATTATGATAATGGGGAAGGCCATCTAATGTGCTAATTCAGAATAACAAATCACTGTAGCCCTTGCTGCCTGTGACAGGGCAGCCATACAAACAGGGGGCTCTGTTCTGACCTCTAAGTTCATTATCAGTAACCATGCAGAATGCAAAGAGTCAGACACTGAACTGAAGGACGGTGCTTAGCGTAAGGCACTGCTTTTGAAAAGTGGTGTGGACCAGCCTACAAAGGTCACTGCAAAGAGCAAACGAGAGTGCCAAGGCTTCTTTTAAAGGAGACTTGTGACAGGAAGAAGCAGCAGGGTTTGCCTAATCTAGAAGAAGTGAAGAAGTAAGGGGAGATTACAGTCTTCAAGCATGCAGAAAGTTGTTTGAAAAACAGTTTTGCTTCATGTCCGTTGGAGATGACACAAGAGAGTAGTGCTGCAGCTTAAAGCTTAAATGCTGGGGAGAAATGTCCAGTCAGTATAAATAGTGGTTACCTGTGGAGATAGTAAAATTTTTGTCACTGGTGACTTTGTGTAGTGCAGTGAAACAGGGTGATTTTGTACAGTTAATGCTATTACCTTCTAGGAAATGGGAGTAGAATTTTTTTTAATATTCTGTTCAAACTGAACATGTTTGTGCTTTCTAGCATGGTTTGTCCTTTAAAATTGTGAGCTGACACAAGAAAAGGAACAAATCCCTTGGCTTTCATGACCAAGTTGTGTGACGTGCGTTAGCAATTGGGTACGTAAGTCATCTTTAGCTGTGTGTGTAACTATGTCCCTTTCTCCTTCCTCAACAGTCTCCAAACGCCCACAACTACCCAGATATGGAAGCTGTACCCTTGTTACTAAACAACGTGAAGGCGGACCCCACGGAGGATTCGTTGTCCGCAGACCATTTCCAAACACAGACTGAACCAGTGGACTTGTCAATAAACAAAGCCAGGTCGTCCCCCACAGCAGCTTCATCTTCACCCGTTTCCATGACAGCATCAGCCTCCTCCCCTTCTTCTACTTCCACTTCTTCTTCTTCTAGTCGACCAGCTTCATCCCCCACTGTAATAACATCGGTATCCTCAGCGGCGTCTGTACCGTCAGTATTAACTCCAGGTCCTCTTGTGGCCTCTGCATCTGGTGTTGGAGGCCAGCAGTTTTTGCACATTATCCATCCAGTACCACCTTCAAGCCCCATGAACTTGCAGTCCAACAAAATGAGTCACGTGCACCGTATCCCCGTGGTGGTACAGTCGGTACCCGTTGTCTATACGGCTGTGAGGTCGCCTGGGAATATGAACAACACTATAGTAGTACCACTGCTGGAGGATGGGAGAAGCCACGTCAAAGGTAAGGTGGAGCCAGTTTTGTGCATCTGCAGCATCTCGAAAACCGCTTTGTGTGAGGAAAATGTAACTTTATAAAGCTGTTAGTTTCCAAACTTACTGTGTCCTATGCTGAAAAGACTTACACTATCAGGAGGAACCTTTAAAAGTCTTATCCCAGATGCTCTTTAAAATAAATGAGTATTTTTATAAAGGTTGAGTTCAGCTGTGGTGTTAGATGCTTGGACAACACATGGCAGGTTTTATCCTGAGAGGAATAAATCCTCCCCAGAAGCTGAAGAAATAAGACAACGGAATAGCAACAGTATATAAAACATCACAGGTGAACATGGAAAACTCACCCCGTGTTACAGATTTGTCAAGGGAAGGAATATCAGAGATTATTTCCGTGCAAAGAGAAAACAGTCGCTGGGCTGTAGGAACGTGAGAAGAACAGGCTCTTGGACCAAAGCGCGGTAGCAGATGCAGAGAGGTAGGTTTTATTAAGCTCAAGGAGTGGCAGTGTGGTATTTTGAATTAGGTTTCTTCTTCCAGATTAAACAGCAGAAGGGAAGGAAACCACACAGAGTGTGTGTTGGGAATGAGTTTTGCAGACACAGGACGTGAGAGGCGTGTGGAGGTGTGAAGGCAGGAAGGAAGCACATGCCAGAAGGACAGATACACTCTTGGAGAGGGGTCCAAAGACCACAGAAAGGGGAGCTGGAGAGCATCAAAAATGAGAACCTAACAGTTACTGAGGGAGCAAAAATTTGACGAGATGGTGACATAATGGGTGGAGGACAAAAAGAGAAAACGGATGTGCCCAGATGCTTTGAAAAGCCTAGCTTTATAAAGAAGGCATTAGTGACAGAGATGGGAACGTGAGGTGTGAGAGAGACTCATTTTGAGATTGATCGCTTTGAGTGAATAAGATACGGCTAATTCTGCCTGAAATGAGGTATTGCTTGAGGCAGAAATGGAAGGTACTGACAGATAACTTTATTTTAGGGCTTATGAGACTACAAGGCGTTTACTAATACATCTTATAACATTTCTTGTGTACCTAACTGCATAATTAAGAGGTCTTTACAAGTAAAAGACCTTTTTTCTTCAACTCTTACGGGTTTTTTGTATATACCTGACTGTGTATTATTGTACAGGACTACAGTGATGGGTCATTCTGATGTTTAGTAGCATCCTGTTGTCCGTAAATCCTTGGTTCTCCTCCTCAGTTACCTGAGTGTGGACTGTGCTCTCTCAACAGGCTTGGATATAGGACACAAGCTCACAGCTGATCTGGGTTTTGTTCTAAGCCTCAGAATGTCAGTTTAAGTTGTTTTATTGCACTTCATACAGTGATGTACTTTTAGGACTTGGTGCTGTTATGTCAAGAAATGATGAATGAGAGCAGAGCTCTTCATCGTGTTGTCTGGAAAAAAAGGAGGAAAGTTTTAGTCTATATTTTGGTGTTGGAGCTTTGAGCCACACCTGACCTTGAGCTCATCCACAATTTTTCCCATTTGTTTTCTTTGCAGAGGTGCTGGTTGACTCTGGTAGTAGTCTCCTGTGTAGGAAGCAACTCCTGATCTTGTAAAACTGGAACTTCGCTACCCCAGTTTCGTCAACAAAATCCTAGCATTTAGTGTGCCATAGGGATTGCAGCCTACGAGCTTCGGGCCTCCTGAGCTGCCTGCACACTATGGCCTTTGTGCTGCTGCTGGCAGGGATCATTGCACAGCCCTGCAGCACCTATTAACGTCCAGCTAAAGAAAAAGAAGGGATTAAGTGCTCTTTCCTTGTTTTCTCTCATCAGTTGCACCCATTTTGCTATCGCTAATTCTTTTGATAGAAATATACAGGTGAATTTGAATAAATACAATAGAAGAATCATGGGCAGCAATCCACTCTAGGTAGTCAGCTTTTGTCGGAGTGTGTTTTTCTTTGTTTAACGTAAAACAGTATAAATTATTAGATTCAATGATGCTGCATATGTGAATCAATTAAATAAATTTCATATGTGTGTAGATTGACTTCCCTTCAGTGGTCAGCTTTTGTGCTGAAATCAAGAAATAAATGTACACAGATGCTAACAGGATGTTGCTGTCGGATTGAATTGGTTGCTAATCCTCTGCCAGCTGGAGGAGAAACTCAGGTTTGGAGTCATCTGGAGTCGTAACTTCCAGCTTTTATGTGAACATTGATCATTTTCAGAAACAAAGGCATATATACGATGAAACAAGGTTAATCCACAGGTAGCATCAGTAGTGTTTGTCCCGTAATCTCTGTGTTCCTTGATGCTTTGGGGCTAAATCAGAGACCGTGTTGATGGCCCAGGGCTGTGATTGGGAGGCACTTAAAGTTGGATTTTACATTACCCTGTCTCTGAGTCCTTTTCACTCAAATGAGGCTTAAGCACTTTCTAAACAGAGATACTTTAAATGCTAAAATGAATGAAAATTACAACAGACTTAAGTTCAGAGCTCTCCTGTTTTTCTAGATACAGGTACTGGGGGAAAAGTGAAAGAAACTGTATAGAGAAAGGTTTTTTCCTTGTTACTCCCAGTTTTGTTTTCCTCATGCTTTGTTTTCCTATTCTTTCCAGATTTGGCTAGAACTATTTTGTTGTAAATTTTATTGCAGATCCTTCTCAGACCACCACCATGCCTCTAATCCTGCCTCCAGGCATTTTACTGGGTGGCTTTCTGCTTCCTCTGGTGCTTCCCAGGAGCCATGCAGTCTACCTTCCCCTCTCTCAAACAGAACTGTCTCCCCAGCAGCTGCTTTCCTAGGCAGCTCGAGCAAATATTTCTTTCTTCACTCTCTCTTTGAATTCTCTCTTCAGCGCAAAAAAAATCACTGCCTTCTCTTCTGTTTCCCTCTCTTTTTTCACTTTTCCATTTTTTTCTGGTCCTCCCGTCTTGCTGACTCAGAGGAGTCCCAGTTTCAGCAGCTCTGCTTCATCTCCCCCTCCTTACCTGTTGATGTTTCTAAGCCCTGCTGTCACCTCCTCCTCTGCTGCTGCACATCCCTCTCGGTGGCATCCTTCATCCTGGCGTTCTCCATCGCACCTTCCTCCGACTCCTTCCCTGCTGCCCGGTGTGCTGCTCATTTTTGTTCTCTGTCCTGCCTCCTCTCTCCTGTATTTTGCTGGCATAAAAAATGTCCCAGTTCACCTGGTATAAATGAAAATTGGGATCTAAGTATTTGTAGGTATTTATTAACGCAGAATGAGAAGGTAATCAGTGGACGATACGTTTAATATCAGTACTGCTAAACCCAGTCCTTGTGGGCACCGCGGGTGCGAGCTGCACCCTCTGCCACCCCCTGCAACATGGCAAAGAGACAAAGTTCACTTCCTTCAGTGGTCACTGCTGGTGCTTTGTCATCTAAAGCCTTAAAAAGAGATTTTTCCTGCTGGGTGTAGGTGGTGACCGCTAGACATTATACGTCGAAGTGTTCCAGAGCATTAAAATCCCATGAAAAGCTCTTTCCTCACTTTTTTTTCTCCCTGTTCAGCAGTGGTGAGGGTTGCTAAAGGATGTAATTAGAGGCCCAGCAGGCAGCAGCACCTATAGATAAGGTTGCCTGATGGTTTCGTTTAAATCCCTGTCTTCAGTTTTGAAGTCTGTCTATACGTTAACCATTTAGACAAACGTTTTCCATGCCACATGTCTGCCTCAGGCTATTTCTTTTTTTTCTTTCTTTCTTTCTGAGGCAAGTTTCAAGAAAAAAAAAACTACTACACTTTTCCTGAGACTGAACGTAGAGAAAAAATGTAGCATTTTCCATGTTGAAAAATTTCTTGCAGCTTACTTTGGTGAAAAACTCTACAACCTCTGTGTTTCTGTGCCATGAAACTCAAGTTTGCTTTGGACTATTGTCCTTTTTTTTTTCTTTTTAAGCACTTATGGAAACCAAGCCAAGTTTGGAGATCAGAAAAATATGAGTACCCTTAAGGGGTAAAGCAAAAGAATTTGTGGCTGGGAACAGGCAAGGAGGAGGTTGGAAGGAGCTAGGGAGAGGGGCAGGATGGGAGGGAGTAGGGGAGAAAGGGAGAGGTGGTGAGGTGGCTACAGATGTGTGAACGTGTTCAGGAGGAAAAGTGGGAGAGGGTTGCAGACAGAGGAAGGGCAGAGAAGCAAAAGGAGGAGAGAGAAGAGGTCTGGGCAGGGTGAAGGAGAGCAAGGAGATGCTCAGACTGACAGGAGCGGAAGGGCCCGCCATGGCAGTAACACATTTCCCCTCAAACTCTGGTCCCTTTAGCATGAGTCTTTCCATTTTGCTTTCAAAGGATATCCATGAACACTGCTGGCAAATCATGTCCCTCTAGCAGCAGGTTTTGTCAAAGATAATGTCCTTAAAAGTTGTTTTCTGTAGTTCAGAAGAGCTACTCCATTCATGGAAGGGCCTTCTAGAAGCTCCCTCCTGGTGATGGTGCACCACAAACCTGTGCAACTTTGATATTTCTCGGAGTTTTTGAGTTGAAGTTTTTGGGTTCTCACCCTTCTGGGTTTTGAAGTTTTCAGAATACACAACTGCTTGCAGAGTCCAGTGGTCAGAACATTATAAATTTAAATTTGCCAACTGCACTTCACGTGGTTCCCATGTATGTAAACATCCCTCCCCTCCCAGTCCACGTTGGTGTGGACTATTTTTATGTCACTATGGCGGTGTATAGACCTAGCAGAAATACACAGATTGTGTCTTCTCACAGTTCACACATGCCACATTCCTCACTGTGGACACATTAATAAGTAGTAAATCAGTAGCTGTTGCTACAGATTTTTCTGCAACTTAAAACAGGTAATATTATCCACTTTATTACATTATCCACTGCCCTTGCTTTTTTTTTTAAGTTCAACCTGTTATTTCTGCTTACCATAAAGTTTATTCCAGAAAAGTAAAAGAAATGTGTAGTACGAAGTGAGGAATTTAGGTAACCCTTCCATGTGTTTAAAGGTCAGATTATATGGTCTGTTTGTATAAATTATGCTATAGAAGAGTCTCTTAATTAAAACCAGCGTT